GCGCGCAGCAGGAGCGCGTAGCCGACGACTGTGCCGCGGCGGCCACGACACATGCCCCCCATGCTCTCACCAAAGTTCACCTTTACGGCATCTTAACGATCGCCGAGCAGCCCCGACTGTGCGCGTGGGAAGACCACCTCGACCGCGCCGCGCGCAGCGTGCATAGCTCTGCGACAGCGCGCACGATGGGCCTGACGGCGCGCGACGCGGCCCTCGTCGCCGCCGGCGCCGCCGGCGCCGTCGCCTTGCCGGCCGTGGCGCGCGCCTGCCGCCGGGCCTGGGCCGCCGCGCCGTCCTGGCGGCGCGGCCGCGCGCGCGCGGCGAGCGCGTCGCCGCCGACGGTGCTGCTCCTGGGCCACGCGGCGCGCATCGAGGCCGGGATCCGCGCGACCCTGACGAGCGAGTGGCGCGTCGAAGCCGTCGCGGACTCGGCGGCCGCGCTCCGCGAGGCCGTCGCGCGCCGCGGCGGCCGCGTCGCCGCCGTCGTCGCCGCGCCGCCCTGCGCCGCCTACTTCCGCGAGGCCATGGCCGCGCTGCCGGGCCTCGCGCTCCTGCAGGTCCTGAGCGCGGGCCACGAGTTCGTCGCCATGGACGCCGTGCCGCGCGGCGCCACCGTCTGCAACTCGTCGTCGATGGACGTGCCCATCGCCGAGTACTGCGTCGCCGCCGTCCTCGAGGCGCGCGTGCGGTGCCGGGTCCTCCACGACGCCATGCGGGCCTCGCGGACCTGGCGGCCGCCCTTCTACGAGGCCGCGCCCGCGGCGTCCGCGTGCGTCCACGGCGAGCTCGAGGGCGCGGCCGTCGCCCTCGTGGGCTTCGGCGCCATCGGCCGGGCCGTCGCCGCGCGCCTCGCCCCCTTCGGCTGCCGCCTCGACGTCGCGCGGTCCAAAACGACGGCGGCGGAGCTCGACGCGATGCTCCAGCGCGCGGACGTCGTCGTGCTCGCCTGCGCGTGCAACGCGGCGACGGCGGGCCTCGTCGACGCGCGGCGCCTGGCGCTCATGAAGCCGACGGCGACGCTCGTCAACGTGTCGCGGGGCGCCGTCGTCGACGAGGGCGCGCTCTTCGACGCGCTCGCGGCGAAGCGGCTCGCGCACGCGGTGGTCGACGTCTGGTGGCGCTACCCCGCGGGGCCCGCGGAGGCGCGCGCGGGCGCCGCGCCGGGCGCCCGGCCCTGGCACGACCTCGGCCGCGACGTGCTCACGATGACGCCCCACGCGTCGGGCTGGTCCGACAAGCAGGACGCGCGCAAATGCGCGCAGATCGCCGACAACCTCGACCGCCTCGCCGCGGGGCGCGACCTCGCGCGCGTCGTCGGACCCTGAGGCCTCTGCGCCCGCCGTTAGACTAGGCACGAGCGGCGATCTTCAGTGAGGCGCCGGGCCAGGTCTAGGTGCGAGCAGTTACTATCGAAGCGAAGTCCAGGATCAGGACGACGTCGCCGCCGTGGCGCTCGAGGATCTCCGCGGCGCGCGTGGTCTCGGGCAGGGGCGCGCCGTCGAGCGTCTGGATTGCGGAGACCGAGGCTGGAAACGCGTCCGTAACACGGGAAATGGGTACGTCGAGCGGGTATTTGGAAAAATCGCACACCTCGGTCTTGACGATCGCGCCGTTCACGCTGACGTGCACTCGAATCTCCCGCGCCGCCGCGCCGTCCGTCTCCCGAGGGGGCGGCGGCGCGGCCTCGCCGTCTGTGGCCTCGCCGTCGTCGGGACGGCTCGCGGCGGGCGTGGCTTGCCCCGCGGCGAAGCTCGAGCTCGCCGGGCAGTGATGTCGGTGCTCGGCCCAGGCCGCGCGCTGGCAGGTCGCGTCGCAGTAGCGGACGCGGCGGCAGCCGAGGCAGACGAGGCTTCGCTCCGGGTCGTACCGCCGGCAGTGAGCGCAGTTCACGAACGCGCCGCCGTCGGCTACGCGCCGATCGTTTTCAGCGAGGTCAGAAGCCGACAACCCAAAAAATCGCTCATCGTGCTCCACGGAAATCGAGTGGATTGCGACGGCGGACGCGACGTAGAGCGACTTCTTCTGCCTTGCGAGCGCAAGCGCGGGGCCGAACCTCGCGGGCGGAGAAAAGGAGAAGGCGTGCTGGATGCTCGTGGGCTTGGCGCCGGCGCGACCGAGGGCCCAGACGCGGACCTCGCCCTCGGCGTCCAGGGTCGCGAGGGAATGGGAGGGCTGCTCCGAGGCGCCGACGACGACGAGCGCCCGCAGGTCCGCGCCGAGGGAGAGGGTCGCGATTCGGTCGGAAGCGAAGGGGTCCTCGTCTCGCCAGTAGCAGTCGACGAACCTGGGACATCCGATGCCGCACCAGTCATGCGCGCACGCGAT